GGTATAAAGACTGGTAGAATATCACAGCGGGACGCACAATGGACAAATACTGGTCTAAGTGCATGGGGAAACCCACCCTCTCCAATAACAACAACAACAACAACAACATATGCATACAGTCCTGTCGCAAGCTCTTGTGAATAATGTAAAAAAAAAACATTCGGATTCCAGAAGCGGCTAGTAATTTTATTACCAGCTGAGCGACTGCTAGCTTCTCAAGAAGACCTTTCATCATGTCGTTACTAACTGGAAGTGGGAATCCATTGGCAATAACCTACATTTCTTTTCCGGACATTTGGCCTAACGCATTTAATAAAGTTACGTCCTTGATTTTGAAGGATGGACTCAGCAGTCAGCAAGCAATTCGTATTCCCTATTGCAAGGAGAAACCCTTGGAATTTAACAATCAGTTTCTATTAAGAAGAATTGTATCTCTTATACATAAAGTAGTGTAGTTTCGAGGAACAATTGTCCTCCCTTAGGCTTAAAAAGTAAGCCAAGGAAGAAGTCAGCATAAAGCAGGTAGCAAGAATTGTTTCCTCTCAAACGTGTGCTACTTTTAGCAGACTGTACAGTGTTATACCTAAGAAAATAGAACTCTTCATGACTACTGCTGTGAGAACCACAAATCCTGTAATACTGATTGTGGTTTGCTATTAAGAAAGGAAAAGAAAATTGTCTTGTTTTTTTTCCATAATTTTATATAATGAAGTGTCCGGTCACATTTAATCTCCCTGCTTTATTGTTCGAGCAACACTGGAAATAGATGTACATTTCACCAAGCGCAAATTTACAGGTTCACCTCATAGTATCGAGAGGGAAGGAAGACATGTTTTCACTCTATTCAAAAAATATGCGCCGCTTGAAGTCCCTACCCAATTTACCTCAATAATATGCAGTGTCTCCATACGATATTTTCGGTATGGCAGGTGCGAATGTAACTCAGCTGGCCGCGCGAGATTTATCCGGTTTGCGTTCTCTGCAGTCTTAAGCAAGGAATATTTCAATGAACATTGAATGTAACGAGATTCACGTGCTAGGAAAATAAAAGGGGAAAATCCCTTCTGAAGATAATCTTATGGCTGAAATATAGAGAATATTTTAGTCTTTGAAGGACACCATATTTTGCATTCAGCGCCCTGAATGTCATCAATTCTATCAGTGTTTTATTTGTTCGAAGACAGGGCTATATGCCTACTATACGACAGAAAACACAAAAATAAATACGAGCGGACTTGTAATATCTACCATAAGAACAACTATGAAGAATTTTTGGGAGGCATTTATGGTGAATGCATATACTTACACTTTCTCGGCGAAATGATAGAACAGACATATAGTCAAAGTTAAGATGTTAAAGTCGAAGCATGTCTGTTATATATAGATCTGAAGTTCAAATACCTGAAATTTTAATCGTGTGGTTTTACTGAGATACTTCATACCATCACCACCAATATTGATAGAATAAATAAAAATATTCTATAAAATCTGTAGATGGTTTTCTACCTTGTCAGTAAGCAGAGACATAGACAAATGTCTCGAACACGTTTTATAAAAATGATTTCTTTTTCTCCATAACGAATAAAACAGAAATACATCCAAAATTAGTACAACGAGCCTGTAGATGACACAGCATAAAAAATATATGTATCTAGAAAACCCTAAGATATCCATGGAAATGTATCGTATATAAAACGAGTGTTTCGCTTTTCTCTACAATGTGTACTGAACCATTTTTCGTCCCGATAAATATTTAGGGAACACCGCACGTGTTACGCTGAAGATACGCTTAGAAATATATGTTGATCTTCTGGAAATATTGCCGCTATTATTGCCTGATTTGAACGAAAGCTGGATTGGTTTGACAAAGGTAAATAAACCTCTCCAACATAACAGTTGATGAAACTTTCTTCGAAAGTCTTCGAATTGTCAGATGCCGAGAGATGGACAGACATACATGATGAATTCGATACATGTCGGGTTTTTTTTTTTGTAAAGTACCAAGAAAGAGAAGAAAGCCGTCTACTTAACTTTACATTTTTAATCTCGCACACTTTTCACGCGACCCCAGCTCTGCTACCTTCCTAAGTAGGAGCCTCTGTTACAGAATCTGTCAATAAAATTAACAGTATTGCATTTTGTTGGATTCGAAATTCTCACAGCAGTGACAATAAAAAGTAGTACATTCTGGGATGTAAACCGTGTAATTCAGTGCTTGACGCCTTCGTAATATTTGACTTAAATTTTAACCTTGAAAATGGAAAGAGTACGTTCCTCCGAAACAGTCCACAATTTGATACCGGTCCCAGGAAGAGCATGCTGTTACATTCGAAATATACTGGCCACATTGCAACATCCTGTTGCCAACTGATATGCCACATTTAGTTTGAAGATGACGGATCTACATGTAGTTTCCAAGCATTATGTAAGCAAGAGCATCCTGCAATCACGTTCTTATAACCTCGTTAAATT